TTATCATCGTAATCTCTACAGTCTACGACTTGAAGATGTAATATTAGAGGCTTACTACGATAACCCCAAAATAGCTTCAACTTGTTTTATTTATTGGAGACGTATTAGGTTTCAAGATTTTGGGAAGGGTATTGCCCTAATTGACTGGTTTCTGATTTTTTGGAATTATGTTTTCTGAGAGTGAATTGGGATCGCAGAGATACTCTGAAAAAATTTCAGAGAATTTATACTCCGATTTACGACCATAAAACTTTTATTTAAGACGACAATCTAACCCCTCTCAGAATGATTTAACTGCCAATCCAAAGGGACAAAGTGACTGGTTATCACAATATGTATATATATAAACGGATGTTCAGGTATTTTTTTGAATCCATAATTCTTGTAATGGGCCCCTCCACTTACATAAGTAGGTTTTAGTTTGATACAAAAGTAGGTAGGTTCGCGTGCAGTGCGCACGCGCATAAGTGTCCTTCTCTGATCGGCTGAAAGTGGGGAGCTAGACCCATTTCTAGCCAATCAGGAGCGGACTTGCATTTGTGTGGTTCTAAGGGCTGGGGGCTCCGGCCCCAGCCCCAATACATAAACAGAGTTAAATCTTCCCAAGACTGTCTTCTTGATCTTCCTGCATTGGGTCCCATCGAGAGCTTCCTCAACGCTACGTATAAGCTAATAACGGCACGCACCTGGCCCGTTATAATTCTGAATTAGTGTACGTTTTATAGTAAGTTGAGTGGTTCAAATAAAAGTAGCGTTATACTGTATTTGTGTAGCCCGTTTATATACTAAATATGTCCTTTCGAATGTGCCCAAGACTAATTGTGGAAGAGAGAGAGAGAGAGAGAGAGAGAGAGAGAGAGAGAGAGAGAGAGAGAGAGAGAGAGGGGGGGGCTTCCTTCCAAATTCCAAGTCAAACAAATTTAGGGAAATGGGAATCGCTCCATTATTTTCTCATTGTTGAAAAAATCCTAGAAAGTCGGATTTGAATCAAAATTGAAATAATTGTTAAATCGATGCGAAGCCTGCATTCCAGCACATTGGAATTGAATCATGCACGAGATGAATCGCAGCAAATACACTCTACGTTTTACGTACCTCGAACGCAAGTACAATACTTTATAAGCTAACGGCCTGCAGGCGCAGCATACATTTTTTTAACGTGTTCTCGCGTTCGTTACTCTAGGGTCAGTTTGCTAAGCCTCTTTGCTAGGGTACTGTTCGCATACGTCGGATCTCTCTCGTCTAGAGGTATATATGCTAGGAAGTACTGAATGAGTCTCTTCCACTCCTTCCGGTCTTGCGCGTGATAGCGCAATAGATAAATATCGGCAGATCGTCGGAGTCGGTAATCGTCAGGTAGAGTTCTAAAATCGGCATCAAAGACTACGGGAAGTGTTAGGCGCCGGCGACCTCGAAACTTGGGCTGTTCACTTGGTCGGAAGTAGTATTCAAGTGTGGCGGTAGGCTGGTATGTCGGGTGTCTACATGGAAAGTCGGAGAATGTCGCCGAAAATCGTCTATCGTCGTTTGAGTAGGTGGTAGCGGAGTGGCTCCGCTCCCGTCCGCGCGAATAGGTCGTCATTGGAGATAATTTCCGGATAGGTGACGCCGATGACTATGCGAAGTTAGCGTTGATGAAACCTTTCGAGTCCCCACAGTTCTGCATGGTTAGAGCCCACGTGCCGCAGTTGTAAAGCAGGATACGAAGCACATAGCAAGTGTAGAGACACAGGCGCGTGGCATCTGATGTCTTCGATGGCCGGATCCAGATATTCCACATACAGTGGTGCGCTGCTGTAGCAAGGTTTTTACGTCTTGAGAGATCTTCTGCATCCACTAGCAGCGAGCCAAGCTTGCGAGTGTTGCGCCAGGATTCTTCTTTTGCACGTTCGGTGCGACTCGGCGTCGCGTGGAGGCGCCTGTGGACAATAGTGTGCTCGGTCTAGGACGTGCTCACACGAGGAACCAGCGAACTAAGATGGCTTCTGCTTGAATTTTGTCGACGGTAGCGGTGTCACGGCAGATGAAATCGGCGTCGCCGCAGTAAACAATCATCTCTTTGAGGAGGTTCTGGGGTACATCTAGATACGCTGCAACATCGCGGAGGGCTGCTTCTAAATAAATAACAAAAAGAACGGGTGAAAGTGAGGCGCCTTGTGGAGTACCTGTGTTGCTCTCGAACGGATCGAGGACGTTCCAGCCGGTCCGAAGAGACAGCGTAGTTTCTTGCAGTAGTATGCGAATTAGGCGAACTTCGTCATCGTAAAAAATACCCTTAAGTACGGAAAGGAGATTGTCGCGATGAACTGTGTCCGAAGCGCGCGATAAATTGATCCCAAGTATCTGGAAGTTTTTGCGATAGCGTTGAGCTCGCGCTGCTATCCATGGATGGGCCCATACCGCATCAGCAGTGCTGCGACAAGGCCGAAACCCGCTTCGGTGTGGGGGGGGGGGGAGATAAGCTGCGACCTTCGGTGATATGCGCCGGAGAACAACGAGCGAGATAGCTTTCCGAATGCTATTTAGTAGCACGATAGGTCGAACACTGGTACATTGATCAGGTGGCTTGTTAGGCTTTGGAAGGCGTAGTAGTATTCCTTCTCCAAGGTGGAAATGGTCTCCATATTGAAATCCGTGGTAGATGATAACGGCGACAGGTGCAGCCAGGACGGCTGCGCCATACTTTAGAAGTTCTGATGGTATTGCATCGGGTCCGACTGCGCGTCCATTCCGAAGACGCTTGAAGGCGAGTTGCAGTTTTTCTGCGGTGATTGGCGTCCGGAGAGGCCTTGAAGTTCTGTCAGGCGTGACTGGTAATCAGGACGGGTCTGCGAATTGTTCTTGAAAGCGTTTCTTGATCTTGTAGCTGGTCTGTGCCTTGTTGAGCATAAATTTACCTGTTGAGTCGTATAACGAGGTTAGTGGTGTACGTTTCCGGAGTAGCGTTTGGGTCGCCTCGAACATCTTCGCGGAGTCGCGAGACTGTTTGATGCAGTTCACTTGTTCGCGTTAGCGAGCTGTTTGCTGCGTGCTCGGATGTGATGAAGTAGTTGGTTGCACTGCGCACTAAGGTGCTTGATGTCCTGCGAGTGATCATTGTTAATGAGCTGGCAGAGGCGGCACTGTTCTTCGGTCATGCTGGGAACTTTTCTAGTCGCTCAAATGATCTACGTCATCCATATCCGCTAGACGCTCTTGAGGCGACTGAAAATGGGAAAACAAATCTTCGGCGTGAAGGCTGTATTTGACAACTGGAGCAGCGTTTGAAGCTCGGTGACATTAACGTATAGCTGCATGTTCCCCTTGGCCCTTGTAACAGCACTGTTAGCGTATCGAAAGCACTCTTTTCCAGACTTGTCTGGACTGACATGGTCGCTTAACTTGAAATATTTGTACCAACGGCGTACGGATCACCGGATCCTCCAACAATGCGCCCAACTTGTTTGCAGTGGGCGATGTATGCGCAGTACAATGTAGTTACACTCCAGCGGAAATTATGCCCCAAATCCCATTTTTTATGTGGTGAAATCATTCCAACAGTCTAAGTATTCTCACTGCCGTTACCTACAATCTCTGTCATTCTTCTCTCTCGGACCTCTCGTAGCAAATGACAAGACGCACCTACATGGAAGACACAGAATTCACACACCTAGTTTCTGCCTAAGACGCTATCTTTCCGAAGTTTTGCCTTGCCGACGTGAGAGAGCTTGTAGCTGGCATTTCCTCGATATTGAATGATACACTTTATCGCGTTCTGCATAGATACGAATGTGGCTTCAAGTGTCCTGTCCTATATTTTTCAGTATGATTGGTTAGTGCAATTTACAAGTTCATTGTTTCTTGGTCTCTCTTCGTATGGCAGCGCTTGGATCGAAGAGAGCTAGCTCAAATAGAGGATATTGAAGTCTAGACTATTGGGCTGCTGTACTTCGACCTTAATTTCTACCCTCCTTGCCTATATGCAAAGCGATGGCAGGATGATTGGGATTGAATTGGCAGTGAGACCCATCTTGCTGAATGATCTACTCAGTCCCTCTCAGTATGGATGGACACTTTGGCCAATTAGCTGGAATTACGTTATCGATTATCATCTCTTGCTTTGCTTCTTGAGACCAACGTTATTGGGGTTGGTTGCAAGCGTGCCTGCTGACCTGTTTCGAGATATGTTTCGAGCCGGAACGCGCTCAATGAAGGGCCATATGTCCAACTTACCATCGAATACTAGAGATTCATATCTAGCATAAATCGGACGCAAAACCCCAGTTATGAACATCATTTTTGTGATGAAGCGCTCGAACGGGACTGTGCGCTGTGGAGGTATCTTTCCTGGTGCCATCTACACCGTCCAGCCCACCTCGGTCATGCAGGGCGTACGAGTATGGCATTTTATTTATATGATGAACAATTATGCACAATAAATTATCCGATGAAGCTCATTAAAGTGCCGAAATAAATAATGACATTGCGTCAGCAGTGAAAATTAATTATGTCATTACGGAAACGTATTGAGATAGCACAACACTTCCACGATCGTCCCTCCACCGTATTCTCAGTCGCGGTGTCTAGCGCAGCAGCAGTATAGGTTACAGCACAGCTTTCCTTTTCCGCGTTAGACGCTCCATTTTGCAACAAAGCCCATGAAGTATTGCATCGAAACCTTATTACTGCGGTGCGAACGTCAAGGAAATGTGCCCTCTTCTCGGAAAAATTATGTTAGACATTACTTCCCATTAATAATGCAATATTCCCTTTTCCTGAAAGGGAATATTGTATTATTGAATAATCTGTTGAACGGTGCATTTCAGATGAAATAAATAATTTACTGTTATTTTTGGAAATTATGTTATTGACAATGCTAATTTCGGAGGCCCTGCGGTCATGTAATACCATTTCTCGTCGATGAAGATTCGATTGCAGAGATCATAGCGTTCGTAGGACCCTGTGATAACAAAGGATAAGCAAAAGCATGTTTGGTAGGACAATTGATTATATATTTTTTCAATAGATCATAGTTGCATAGCGTTGGGCAGATGCATGCATCGCTGCCATAATATGCATTGTATCCGGCCGCGGCTAAAAATAAATTTTAGTTTACGCAAGCTACAAATTCTGTTTTTGCTCTTCACTGCCCTCGAACGAGAACGCGTTGAAGTCGCTGCCCTCACTTCGATCTCCGCTACTCTCCATGCATTCATCGCTGCTTTCCGGCTCGAAATTCTCCTCCAGACCATCGTCTTCGTCGTCATCCCCACCCCCGCTTTCGTCCAACGCTTTGTAGAGGATACTAATCGTGGCGTCCTTGTCGCCTTCGTTCGCATAAACAAACACGAGCTTCTTGACCCTTACTTCGCTCAACCGGTTCCTCCTCTTGGTATGAATAAAGTCATGAATACTCCATGATCTTTTGCTGGCAGCTGAAGAGGTTGGGATCGTGTAAAGTCGACAAGCAAGCGGGGCTAACAACGGGTAAGTGGCCGCTGCATCCATCCACCAGAGCAAAGGCGTAACGCTGTCCTGCTTCTTTCGTCGTCGAGGAGGTTACCGGAGCTTCCTCGCCTGGAAAGCGTTGACTTCGGCACCGAGGCGATTTTTTTTTCAGCCTCCGTCGAGATGATACCCAACCGCACAGCTAATGTCTTTAACGTTTCAATGCTGTCAGCTAAATCGGCGTCCACAAAATCTGATACTTTCTTGGTATGATCCAAAAGAAAATATATGCCCATTGTCTCCGTGTGGACGAAGTCCCACTTGGCTTGGATCGCTTCCAAAATCTTGGTCTGGACTTCTTTGGTTCCCCATCAACGTTTGTGGTGTTCAGTGCGTTGGTTTTCAGCTGGCAGAACTGATAGTATATACCATCGAGATACAGCAGTGATCGCGCTCCAGTGTTGCAATAGCATCAATAATAGGCTTTGACAATGTCATCATCTGCTTCAGGCGTTTCCAGAACGTGCTGGTCTGTGCTATCCGACAAGCTTCGCGAAACCGAACTGGGTTCCTCTTGCTAAACCGTCTCATGAACTTCTTTTGGTTGAAAACCTTGTCGATGAGCCGGCGATTGTCGTACACACTTTTCATACACTCATAACCCGAGTACCATCTAGTCGGCACGGGTAAGCGCAACGGTGCTTTTCCTGGGATTCCTTCTGCAATTTCCTGACCCTTGCAAGCAGTTGGAGACGATTTCTTATAAACTTGGCCAGCGTGACAGCATTGCTGCGAGCTTCGTTCATCCATGGAAAGTTTAGCACTTCCTCCATAACGAGATTGAGGGCATGACTGCTGCATCCGTTGCAGCAAATTCGTCGCTTATTCTCAAGGATTCCCCATGCGGCATGCATGACGGGGGCGTTGTCTGTCGTTACCGACAAAACCACTTGCTTGCCCATAGCTGCGTTCATTTTGTCGATCACTTCGCCGATTTGTTCGGCCACGTACTCTGACGTTTGCTCGTCGTCGCCACATGTCTTCGTACACCACAACAATGGACGCATCAAGGGGGAAACAACAATGTAGTTCACGACCTTGTCTTTGCCGACACTTGTCCATCCGTCCGAAACGAGTGCTACTGTTGGTTCATCGCGCAGTCGTGAGCTTACGGCCTCCATCTCGCGCTTGTACTCAGCCGTTAGTAATCGGCCCGACAACGCCTTACGAGTCGGCAAATATTTTCCATCGCTGGCTGCAGAACTCAAAGTGCTTTTGCGAAGCTGAGGAACCGCGATGGCGCGAAATGGTAAAACTGCAAAATCCCCTGGCTTATAGCAGTTATTAGTGATCCTTCATGTCATTGTTCAGGTTGTCGGTAAATTGAAAGGGTGACACTTGAAATGACTCGGATAGTGCTTGAGATGCATTGGTGATCACTGACTCCTGAGTAAGCCCTGGTAACTGTATGTCGCTCGCGGTCTTCCTCCTCTTGCGCTTACGCTTGCTTTTTGATGGAACAGGCTCACCATATCAACTTCACTTGAGTCGTTCAGAGTCCGGTAAGCTGGAGCACTTTGACAAATTCGCGAGTATACTTCTTCAGGGTTGGCACTTCAGCAGAGAGGCCCCACAGTGCTTGCACGTGACGTCGGGATATTTCTTCTTTTCGTCAATGGTGAACGCGTTCCAGGCCGGGTGTGTACGCGTCATCGTCATCCTTGAGGCTGAGTAAATGTGATCAAACTGCCTTATCGCTGCAGCTCAAAATGACGAATGATGTTTGATGGCAAGTGTGAGATGTATCCGTGTATCTGATTGGTTGGTATTACTAACTTATTGCAATGTTAGTAGTACTATGGAATGTATAGTATAGTAATTAATAAACAAGCAGATGTAGGGCGGCTTGTGGAAGCTTCTAGAAGCTACCATCCGTCCGAACTGCGGGGACGGCACTTTTCCTTTGGCGCGCCCTCCCCCAAGTTTCTATCGTTTTGAAATACTGGTAGCACTTGTTGGTCTCAGCAACCTGACCTCGAGGAACCCATGCCGACGAACGCGCAGCTACAAGCCGAGATGGACCAGCTGAATCAAGCGATGGCGGAACGCACGAGAGTGCCCAGCAATCTGCCCAAGTTTACCGACAAGAGGGGGAAGATGTGCGTGAATGGCTGTTCCAGATCGAGAACGCCTGTCGTATCAACGGGATCGCAATCGACAACGCGAATCGGCGTCTACCAGGAATCGCCGGGTCGGCGATGGAGAAACCGGCTTCGGGGTGGTTCCTGCACTGGGCTTCAACAACGCGAGTGGAAGAGCACACGTGGGGGATTTTCCGTGAGCATGTGCTCCAACACTTCGAAGCGTCGAGCTACCAGTCAGTGCTAAGAGAGAAGCTCCAGCGTCTGAAGCAGACAGTGGATATCGAGACCTACAACGGCGAGTACTCGGCCCTCATCTTTCGAGTTAAAGGCATGAGCGTGCTTGACCAAGTACTGTTCTATGCAAACGGTCTCAAGCCTCGCACGCGGAGCTATGTGAAGCTCGAGAATCCTGAGACGCTGAGTGACGCCATGGACTTAGCTGTCAAGTTTGAGGTGACCCACTTCCTGGAGGACGCTAGTGAGCGCAATGTTCGTCACGAGAAGACGAAGGCCTCTAGTGAACAAGATCAAGACAACAAGAAACGTCCAAGGGAAAAGTCCTTCAGAGGAAAGGGACGGTTCAAACCAAGCAATATGACGAAAACATCAAAGATGCTTCTTGACTGTGGGGAAACCACGATCTACGTGTCAAAGCGGTGGGTAGAAGAACACCAGCTGAAGACAACGAGGTTCAGCGACAAGAACATTCGAGTCAAGCTTGGAGACAACCCGATTGTGGAGGCCCAGCTAGAGGTGCTACCTCTTCGTATGATAGTCTGTGGAATAGACGATGCGTATGAATGCGTCGCAGTAGTCTACGCGATTACTGAAGAATTTGACTGCATCCTTGGAATACCATTTTTCGCAGACATGCAACCACAGATCGACTGGAAAGGTCGACGAGTCGAAGGAACAAGAGAGTCAACTTTGCGCTGGAAACGAACGGGTGAAACCTGTGGGCCGATCGAGGAAGGCGGACCGGTGATAGCCTCCGGGCTTCGGAGATCTGTCGGGGCGAAAGGCCTATCGGCGAAAAGACCCGATCCCTGTCGAGGTGCCGCCCTGGAAACGGATGTGAAGTCCGCGGGCAACCCCGTTCACGACTCAGAGCAGAGCGAGATCCCACTCGTTGCTTGCGAGCAACTAAGAGACGCGTCCGCTGGCAAGGGTTCAGCAGACGAAGACGAGAGGAATGCGTCGGGACGCGACGGTACCGCTGGGAGCAGCGATACCAGGGGAAGAGAGTCCGTTGTGGAGAAGATGTTCACAATGGGAATCACGGATGACGCTGGCGTGCAGACCAAGTTCGTCATGAGAAAAAATTGGGGAAGTTCCTGAGAATCAAGACCAAGTCGATCGAGAAACCAGACTTCATGTTGGTTTTGACGAACGAAACAATCAAGAACGTCACTCGATCCTTCGAGCGGCGTGACCAACCCGACAATGTCGGAATGGCAAAAGCTCAACGTTATCTGGAGACAGGTTGGGATAGTTTTCGGGCGAACCCAGCCTTTGACTTGCTGACGAAGTACAAGGACACGGTGTTTCGACCAGAACTCCCTGAAGGTCTTCCAGAAAAGCGTGAAATCGAGCACAGGATCGACGTGAAAGATCCCAACCTTGCGATGTACCGACAACAGTGGCGGCAGTCACCTGAGCAACAACGTGAGATCGTGCTCTGGGTTGAAGACAAGGTGAAGAAGAAGCTTATTCGACCAAGCATCAGCTCACATGCCGCACCAACCTTCTGCGTCAGGAAACCAGTTGTATGGCGGATCGTTCACGATTACCGATACTTGAACTCCAACACGATACGGCAGAGTATACCAATGACGCGGAAAGAAGACATCCTAGACGCCATGGCCGGAGGATACGGGTTCTCAACGATGGATTTGATGTCCGCGTATTACCAAGTTCGGATGCGCGCTGAAGATATCAAGTTCACAGCGTTCCAGGCGCCCAACGGCCTATGGAAGTTCTTGGTGCTGCCCATGGGTGTCTGCAACGCACCAGCGACGATGCATCGGTTGACGTCGAAACTGTTTCGCGATTTGAAGAACACGAAGTCATTCTACGATGACATCTACATCTTCAAGAAGTCACAGAAGATTGAAGATCACTTGGAAGCTCTCCGCAAAACCTTGGACATCTTACGAGACAACAAGCTATACGTGAAGCTATCCAAGTGCGTCTTCTACGCTGACAAGATTCCATGTCTTGGAGATTTTGTTGGAAAAGGCGGCGTACGGATGGATCCAGACAAGGTGCAGACTATCAAGGACTGGCCGATACCAAGAACACAAGAGGAGCTTCACAGCTTCCTCGGTTTGACCGGATACGTTCAACGGTTCTGCCCAGACTACGCGAAGCTAACAGTCAGTATGTTTAATCTGCTCAAGAAGAAGTCCAAGCGCAATGCGAAGATTCAGTTCGACGAAGAGCAGTCGAAGAACTTCAAGGAACTGAAACGACGGCTGTGCAATCGACCAGTGCTGCACTTGCCCGACTTCAATCAACCTATGCATTTGCGCACGGATGTAAGCAAGTTTGCCGTCGGAGGAGTCCTGTTCCAAGTTGTCGATGGTGTTGAGCTACCCATAGCTTACACCAATAGGAAGATGAAGTCCGCGGAACTCAACTATCTGACGCAGCAGCAAGAGCTTCTAGCTATCGTCAACGCTCTAGCAGCTTTTCGAATTTACTGCTTGGACAAACCACCAATCGTGGAGACAAATCACAAGAGTCTTGAAGGTCTTTTTACTCAGAAGATGGCGAATCGTCGTCTTGCGCGCTGGTATGATATCCTCGCGGAGTACCAGCCCATGTTTTCATACCTCCCAGGTGCGAAGAACGGAATCGCAGACGCGCTTAGCCGAAGACCAGACTTGCAACCGGAAATGAAGTACTTCCATGACTTGAGTGTGACCAGCTTCGACGATACATCTTTCCGTTTGGCGATCAGCGAGGTGACGACGGACAGTGAATTGGTCACCAAGATTAAACGAGCCTACACGAAGGATCGAGAAGCTCAAACAATCTTCACAGTTATCAAGCGGCGTACAGACAACTCGCAAGCCGGAAGCGAAACAGCACCAGCATAGAAAGTATCGCTGCTATACCGAAGGCGATGGTTTGCTGTGGTACCAGACTCCATCCGATGATGTCCCACGTATCGGGGTGCCCAACTACGTCACGTTGCGGCAAGCGATCGTCCACGAGTGTCATGACGCCAACTACAACGGGCATCCAGGCGCGGAGCGGACGTACTTGACACTCGCTAAGCGGTGGTACTGGATCAAGATGTTGAAATCAATCCACTCGTACATCACCGATTGTGAGCTTTGTCGAAGAAACAAACCGCGGCTAACGAAACCACCAGGACTACTTGAGCCTCTGAGAATACCAGACGAGCGATGGAGATCACTGTCGATGGACTTCATCACCGACTTGCCACGAACGAAGAGGGAAGTAGATTCGATCTGGGTCGGCGTAGACCGACTGACAAAGCGATGACATTTTGTTCCGACCACGAAAAAGGTTGATGCTAAAGGTGTTGCCCGTCTCTTCATCAACCATGTATGGAAACTGCACGCGATGCCGACGATCATTGTATCCGACAGAGACAGAAAGTTTGTTTCGACGTTCTGGCAACACGTCTTTAAATCGATCGGGACAACTCTTAACATGACTGTTGCTCATCGAGCGCAAGGTGACGGCCAGACGGAGCGGATGAACAGAACGCTTGAGGAGTATTTGCGGTGCTACGTTGGACCTGTTCAAGACGACTGGGATATCCATCTTGCCAATGCGGAGTTGCGATGAATTCGACAGTGAACAGCAGCATCAAGATGGCACCTTTCGAAGCGGATCTCGGATACATCCAGCTCAACCCACTTCAGCTTGCAGCAGAGAATAGAGGCAAAGTTCCCGCTAGTCGGCGCGGTGCTGAGTTTCACAAGCGCCAAGCCGCTATTCTTCGGTGGTGTCAAGACGCGCTTGCAGAAGGACAAGAGAGAATGCGCGACGTGTACGACCGCAATCGAGAGGAGCAGGTTTTTGAGGTTGGCGATCGAGTGTACTTGAGTACAAAACACTTGGATCGCAGACATACTGGTTTACCCAACTCAAGCAAGCTTGGTACGAAGTGGATAGGTCCCTACACGGTTGTGAAAAGGATCCATAACCACGCGTACGAGCTAAACATCCAAGCAGGCAACAGACTTCACCCAGTATTCAATACCGGATCTTGAAACCATACAAGGATGCCACACGGAGATCGAGGCCCCATGATGTCGTTCTAGCCGACGGTATGGTTGGACAACTCATCCAAAGGCTTCTTGGTAAGCGAACTCACAAGAGACGAACCCAATTTCTTGTAGGGTGGGTGGGTGAGGATAAACCCACTTGGGAGCCGATCGAGAATATCTCACAGATCCCAGATCTCATTGCAGACTTCGAATCATCCTGGAGAAGGAAGCGGCGAAGAAGATGAACAGCAAAATCAAGAGTAAAGGGGGCCCGAAAGCCTACATGTATTCTCGCATTACATCTCCTACAACTTCTGCTGCTCCTTCTTCTCGCGGCGAGCTTTCTTTCGATTTGGCCTGGACTTGCGTTTTCCGCGGCGGTAACGGTACCCTGGATTCAGCTTCATCAATCCCATCTATTTGACTTTGTCGAGATACTCCAAGTTCGTCAAAGGCTCCGGAGTCACAGGCGGTTCGACTCCATCCAGTACCGAGACAGCAGCGTCTGGTCCCTTCGCGAGGACAACAACGCAGTGTCCGACGAGGCCATCACCAACACTCGTGAGATACACACCCTCACGCAGTGTTTGGACAAAAGACTGGAACCGCTCCACATCCGTGTAGGAAGCATCAAGTGGACTCTGGAAGAGAAGGTCATAATCCAACGGAAAATCGTTGCGCTGAAGAATCCGAAAGAACTCCGTAGCTTCAGCTCGAGAAACTCCGTCGACAGTGCCTGGATGATCACGCTCGAAGTTCATCCATAGTTCAGTGGCCGTGGATGCAAGACCAGGGTCGCCAAGATGATATAACGCCGCGCGAAATGCGTCCATGAAGCAGCCGACAGCGGGAGAAGCCTGGTCATGACGCGCGAAATGTTTCATGTAGTAATTGGCGAATGCACCAGGACGCAGATCTTTACACCACTGCATCACCTGATCCATACGACGAGCGAATCGTTGGGCGAGCTGCTCCTCCCACACCCAGCTCAACTGAAGAGGCGTAATTTGCCACTCAACGAGGAAACACCGATGCGGATATTCGCCGCGATCATCGTGGAGCTGCTCGACGTTAACTGGAACGGAGTAATTCCAAGGTGCCGTTGGATCGTAGTGATTAGCACGGCCGTTCGCAGGATGCTTCGCCGGAACAGGAGGCAAATCATTTGGATGCCAGTCGCCCGAATCAGTACTTCGCCTCAGGCGATTGAACCTATCAACCGGTTCAGTCTCCTCTTCGCTGTCATCGTCAAACAGACCACTCGCTGATGGAGTAGGGGGTGGCGGACGTGCCGCGCGCAGACCCTCGTCCTCCTCTGATTCTTCATCTGAGCTGCCGAAGAGCTGGCCACAGTGCAGTTTCTTCAGGCGATTTAATATCGACTCGCCAGAGACATCTGACGCCACCGAAGCGTCGTCCAAAGGCGATGATGGCGTGGTGTTTAACGCAGGCAGCGGAGAAGCGGAAGTAGCAGAAGCAAGAGAAACCGCTGGAGACCCAACAGACGACGGTAGCAACTTCGACAGAGGCGATGGTATCTGGGGCGACGATGGAGGTGACGGTAGTGGCGGTGACGGCGTTGGCGACGATGGAGGCGACGGTGAAGCGGGCTGTCTTGCAGCCTGTGGACGCTTAGCAGCCGTTTTCGATGACGGCCCGGCCAAAGAGGCTCGTGCCAGACGTGACTTGGCCGCGCGGAGCCCAGCCGTGGACTGGAGCTCCACCAAGAGAGCACGAGAGGGAGGCGACGGGCGTAAGGAAGCCATGGTGATCGCCTCGGGCTGGAATCCACTCGCTTCCAGTGCAGTCAGGCCCGTGGGCGAAGATGGCACCGGTTCAAGCGAGTCCCTGATGAGACGGTCGACTTCGCCGTCCGCTGTGCTTCTTCGAGAATGAAGGCTATGAAGAGGCGGCAGTTGCCAGAGGGAGGGTGAGATTATCTGATTGGTTGGTATTACTAACTTATTGCAATGTTAGTAGTACTATGGAATGTATAGTATAGTAATTAATAAACAAGCAGATGTGGGGCGGCTTGTGGAAGCTTCTAGAAGCTTCCATCCGTCCGAACTGCGGGGGCGGCACTTTTACTTTGGCGCGCCCTCCCAAGTCCCTATCTTTTTGAAATAATCCGCTTCTACGAATGCCGGTTGGGCACGTACCCGCAACTGATTCATGTATTTCAACCTGTAGTCATCAATTAAAGGCCCAGGAGCTTCTACGAAGAAGCAGACGTGCTTCATCAAAGGCCCAGGACGTGTGGGCGAGGATGATCGCGGCCACAAGACTGCGGTGCCTTCGCTCCGGTCAGAGATATTTTTAGCTCGTAGTAAACATCAAAATCGTCGCAGGGTTTATTTTGCATACGATGCCACCATTATGCCATATCTGCAACAAAAAAATGAAAGAAATGGCAGTATGCCATAATTGCAATCTGCCCAAACTTTAGTTGCACATACTCGAACGGACCTAGATGCTTTGTTTGCTTCGGTTAAGCGCAGCTTGATTGAGTCGATCAATTTCCCCTGGAGCAGCTGAGCGGTGCACAGAAGCAACGGAATCTGTATGGCTTTGGCTATTGAGCGCATTATTCGTCGCTTTCGCCGAGGCTAAGTCTTGAGCTTTTCTGGTATGACTGTAAGGCGCTTCTTCCTACCGCATTTCCCCGGTTGCTTGGCCTTGAATAGTGGCAGCCCGTGACCGTTTCTTCGATGCTTAACTGTCGCTCTCGAATTTTTGGACACGGAGCTATCACTACAGTTATAATTGCTCTGTAGCTTGAAGAATATAACTGCGTCGTACTTTTAGGTTAGTAGAGTGCTCAATGCCTATCTTCGTCTCGGGAGCCAGGTCTTTGTCTGGCTTACGTTACCTTGTTGCCATTGCAGAATGACGCTGGCCATGGTATTGGCCGCGTTACATCTGCAACCTGGACGCACTAAATCTACATTCTACCCACACTAATTCGTCCAAACACTAAAAACATTTGGCTGACACAAATAATGCACGTCGTGATTGGAGGGTTTGAAGAAGCAACACTTAATTTCAACCATCGTAGTCAAGAAATTTGAAACAGAGCAGATCTCGATAAATGTGAACGGAGGAAATGTAGGATATTTTCGCAATACCTTGTACTGTAGTTTACAATATACAAGTATAAACCGTAGTCTGCATAATACGATTATTGCAATATTTGGTCAAAATATCATATTGTTGATCTGTCGAGAATTGCAATGCTACGAAACATGAAATCGAAAATATAATAGCATATTTTATTTTCCAACCTCTGCATTATTTGTCAAATCAGATCATGTTACGCGCTACCATGAGCTACATTCGTTGTAGGGCGTCTGAGATGCATGCCGATCGCGACAAACGCTTTGTTTGCCTGGAAGAAACAATTATGAGCTTGGTACCCTTGCCCATTGCAGACGCTGCAAAAAAACATTGGTGAAGTAAAAAGGCACGCGTACTTTCAAAAAAAAAACCAATAATGTTTCTGGGGTGCGTGCCAAGGCTAAAGTTGGGATTCCTCGTAACTCCTGCTGAAACATTTCTACGCGTTTTATAAGTGGTGTTTGCTACGTAAATGTACCGCCCAATCGCCAAATAAAAAAGCTGGTCAATCAATACCAGTAGCATCCAAAAGCGATATACAGTATATGGCGATGGATCAGCTCAGTCGTGGTGCTGCAGTTTGGTAGCCATGTGATCCAATCTGGGGTTTCTATACCGTACTTCTTGTGTGAGCGACCAGAGGTTGACTGGCACAAATTTGTGGTTATCAGTTTTGGTACGCGGTTCCACTGAGTCGCAGACTGTGACTAATATACTCCAGACGCTACTACAGGGTTAGTAATAAACTGTCAGAACGTGTAACCTGTTTTATCTTGTTTGCATGGGTAACAAAACGAAATATAAAAGACTGGCGATGAAGTCTGTTTAACCCGTAATCACTGTGAAACTTGAAGACGATTATGAAACAGAGACTGTAATCAGGTGTTTTGCGGGTTGCTGGTTGTCAGTTCACTTCAAAACCTGCCGACAAATACGCACAGCAGAAAAAAAATGAACGACACAGCCACCAGACGGAGCATTACGACCAGTCAAGGGTTCTCCTTGCTGGAACGACTCCTAATCCAGACTGCCGACGACATACTAAAGGTCCTCAAGGTGCTCAAGAAGAATCTCAGGAAGCACGACAGTCGCAACCTGCCCGGGTTCCACCTCCAAGTACTGCCTCAAGGTCGATATTCGTGTCGTAAAGGATATGGTCTCAGAGTTACGGCACGTGGCAAAGCGGATCGGCAAAAGCAAGACTCCGTCCCATTCCGAGGTCAACGCCGCTCGCATCAGTATGAATGGAACTGCTGACGCCTTGAACGACTTGAAAAAGGCTGGTCGAATCTATGACCAGAATAGAGGCCTCACAAGCGTCGAGTCAGAGGGAAAAATGGTTGAAGGCGGAGAAGTCGTAAGGAATACTGAGACGGTGGAGGCACTAGTGACATTAACTCTTCGCGACAACTTCATCGGGTTTGATGCCTTGGAAAACCAAATTTTAGCTGTAGAAAAGTCGTTGTTGCCGTGGTGAAGATTTCTACGAGATGGAGCAACGAGCAGGAACGCCCTGACAGCTCAGACCCGACACCAAGTCGATTCTCGATGATGTTTAACACAAGATATAGTTGCTGCTGGCAGCGGCTGCTTCCACGACGCGATTCACCGTTCTGCTACGAAGTTCCTCTGGCCTCCATGGAAACTCGCTCAAGCTACTGCTGCCAGAGTAACTACTTTCCGTTTCACGGTGGCATTCTTGACAAGACAGATTGAGATGTGGTGTTCATCAATTAGCAAGTACTACATTGAGTACTGTTGAATTCAATCTTACTATAGTATTTGTCTAGCCAACATCATGAGGCGCTGTTCTACGACTTCTATTCATAAATGCACAACCACTTAACAGCAATCACAACTCTCGGAAACGGGAAACAAAACCGTGTAGCCTACAGTGTAGGGCATTTAACTGTGGAAACTTCTCCATTCGTTTTGAGTCATTGTTGAATGCAGCCACTCACATTTGACATTTTCGTCCTCAAACTCAGACAACCTGAGAGGCAAGTGCAGGGTAGAATCGCGTCTTGCTCATCATAAATTGCACTGGGCCGCTACTGTATGAAGCCTTGGCTGTGTGAGAACAGTACTTTCTGTAAGTACCTTGAATGCGACACTGTTCTACAAATTCAACCGGTAGAACACGGTAAGCCGCCGAATCTCTATTGTTCTACCGAATTCTACCGGTAGAGCGCGGTAACCCACTCAATTTCCTTCGCCCCGAACGGCAATGGGGACAGAGGAGCGCTACCCCGAGTGGTCTTTCACGGAGACGCTATCGCTGGACGATGTGGAGATCCGCGAGCGCCAACAGGTGGACGAGGACGGAGAGCTCTGCATCGTGTCCTACGCGCACGCGATCCAGGGCCGCGAGACGACAAAGATCACTTACAAGATGATCCGTAAAGTTTGCACTTATCTGGGCGTTCGCTACTATAAGAACCAGCCCAAGAACGTCATGTTGGAGATCATCGCACAGAAGAAACTCAAGGGCCAAGTACCCGAGAGCTACAGGAAGAAGCGGAAGGTGGCCGAGAGAGCGCGACCTGTATACACGTACCGGGATGAGAACAGGAACGAGAACCGAGATCCCACAGAGGAGTCTCACCCACCGGCCACCAACTCCAAGCGCCAACGGGTAGAGGCAGATGAGTCAAATGTCTCTACCGTCTCCGTTACCACCACCACCAACAGTGCCACTACCACGTCCTTCCATCTACTGGAACACCGGAACGAGAACAATGAGAACCGAGACTCCACAGAGGAGACTACAGAAGAGGCTCCATTGTCTATCAATACCAACCGCCAGCGCGTGGAGACTGGTGAAGCGAACGCCGCTACGATCCCAGTTATCACCACCACCAGTAGTGCTACCAACGCGTTCTTGCAGCCCTTGATACTAGCCGAGACGGACCAACGTCAATTGCCAGCCGACAATGGACCAGGGATCCCAACGACCCCGTCAGTACCGGAACCGCCCCGGATCTACGTGGAAATGTCACTGACCGACCGAGTTGATACGTTTAACTTACTGCGCCATATTCGTCAGCAGATCCAACATGTCGAAGATGAAATCGCCACCCAAACAACAAACAGCACGTCGCAGATGTCGACTATTAAGACGCAACGTCTGACTGAAGATTTACGCTTCTACCTTGCCGAGCGGCGATCACTCATCCAACAACTCGAAAACTCGAGATACATGTGAAAAGCGTACTTCAACGACAACATCCGTGAGATGGCCGTTTCCGAAATATAAAATGTCACGTTTTCTTAGGGTATTTTTTGAGAGAATTAGTTTGGCTGGACATCCTTTCGCTTCCCAGTCTTCTCAAGATGAAGCTGAACTGTGTGAACTCGAGTGACGCCTGACGTATAATATCAAGGTCGCACAAGACGCCAGCATTCGAGACGCGAAAAAGCAACATTAGCGTATTCGAAGAGGTGGCTTCGATGAAGCTGTTCGCCGCTAAAGACGAGCATGGACATTTTCTTCGTCTGAAGGCACATGGAAGAGCGAAGTTTGTCGGATGCATACATGTTTGTGATGACGTGTCTGTGAAATTCATTTTGTGTTGATCGGGATTGGCCCAGTTACTTCAAAGCAACCGTTGTATAACCAAGAGTATGCAGAAAACTACGAGAAACCATTGCAGACAGAAAGGGTCCATTATTACTGGGAAAAAAGATAATAACGATACATTGACATTGCATAGAGTGATAACCAAGCCTAATATACAGTAAATGTTGAGAAGTCAAGTTCAACTTGACGATGCGTATGCTGTTGTGGAAGCACCGGATAGAAACAACATATATTTATTCGTGATATGCCGTGCAATAGCCATCCGTGCTAAGCGTTGGCCTATGGAAAGTGTACTGTCCAACTTAAAGCGTCCGATTGGAGTGAAAGCAATTCGTTTGGCATGTGGCGCCACATAGAGAGCGTCTGCTATTATCCATTGAACAATCACCCGTTTCGAGTTTTTCCAGAAAGCATGGCTCGTACCATGTTGGATGAGATTAGGAATATTGTCTCCATGGCAACTGACGCTGTCGACGAAGAGATCAAAACGAAGCATTTGCTCTACAGTATATTCAAGCCTGTTGCAGCTGCTGCGCACCTGACAGTTATCGTCAGCTCAACACACTGCTTGAAAAGCAACAGAGATATCTTAGATATCACTGGAAATGCTGACTTCGTCCTACAGCTTGGTGATAAATACGTCTGTGTGATGCTAGCAAAGAAAGATATCAACCTAAATGGCGAAGGTAGCAGCGAGGACGACTTTGAATCAGGTGACGGTGACATTGTGAAACGTGAAGTAGAGAATGAACTAGCTCAAACTGTGATGGTTATGGAAATCATCAGTACTTACGCGACTAGGCGGTATCATTTCAAAATACCGAGAGTGGCGCTTTATTAACAATGACCGACTGCATGTGATGACACACGAGGACAAGTTGGTACGTTCCGAGAGCGGCATACCGAAGGTTGAAGACATGACACGCATCGCAGGAAAAGTTTTATGCAATGATCGAGGGGGGATTAAACGTGTCCGAAGGATCAATCAGGCCTAGCAAGATCACCATATCTCTTGTTATCCCGTTTTCCAATTTATAAAATCTCACAAGTGTCCCATAACCTGTCGTGTTCAATACTTTTTTTCCCGCTGTTTAGCTCAAAAGTCTTCCGCCCTTGAAGCCTCTAAATGGCGGGAACGCTGACTCGCTTCTTCGCGTCGGCGTCGAGCTCGGGAGCGTTCGCGAGCATCCGTGGCGACGCGCATCTATTGCAGACCTCGCAGACTTTATACGACCAGATATTGCCGTCTGCACCGGTCATCGGCGTGGACGAGAGCAATGCGCGTAGCAAGGAGAGCGAACCAGACAAGATCTGGGCCTTAGTGGCCGTTGTTGCCACAAGAATGACGCAGGAGGTCAAACAAGAGCAAGCGGAAGAAGAGCAATGCTCTACAAGTGTACAGACCAAGCTGGAGTGGCATCTAGTGGATCTACTGGCCGAGGCCGGTGTGGGATTGCAGGAATTCCTGCTCTACTTGACTAGTCTCTTTAACCGTTTGCTCTTGGAGCCGGAGCTTCTAGCAGCCACTACACTACTCAAAGAGGAGTTCACAATTGCCACTTTATTGTTCGAGAAGTACCGCGTGCTCTGGGAAGCGCTTGTACCCAAGAAGAGAACCCAATCGCTATTTCCTTCCGATCCCGAGCCAGAGAGCGACGCAGAGCAAAATACAGAGCTGAAGACACGCACACGACGCCGGAAACTCTTCGAAGGAGGCTGGTTGCTGTTTCTATTGGCCAAAAGAAGACTGGACGCGCACTATTCGGGTCTTGGACAGCTCTACCACTTACTATTAGCTACTCTACATTTGGTCCTTGCTAATGCTCAAGCGTCCCAAGCCACAGTAGAAGCGGAAGTAGCAGCGGCGTTGAGTGCCATGGGTGCACTGGGAGATGGCAAGGCGTCGCCTGTAAAATCTGGAGCAGGAGTGAAGACCAGTGCACAGATTCTGGAAGCTCTTTGTGCGGCTCCAAAAGTGGATCCCGCCGATGTTTCACGTGCATCGGAACATTTAGGACTGGTGCTACAACAATTAAGAGACGAGCAGGTGTTGCAGAAACCGGAAGACGAGCATAATGTGCTCAGTATGGCGCTGTTTAGCGATGACGTGCTGGAAGCCAATGTTGCCAGATTGTCGGACAAATACAAGGACGATTATCTCGATGGATGTGGGAAACTGGACGAACGGTTCTTCTTGGATGCTCGTATTCGACGCATAATTATGGGGGCGAGTGCTAATGCCCAAGCAGATAGTGGAGACAGCTCGGCTGATTCATCTGGCAGTCGTAGTACTGCGCGTACAATGTTGTCCCCGGTACGTCGCAATATGCTCGCTCGACGACGAGATAGTAATCCTACTACCCCAGCTACACGAGGAATGATGACACCGCCTCGCCATCGCCAACAAACATTCCCCGCTCGTGGACTTAACTCGCCGTTGATGCATTCCTGGCAGTGGCAAGGTTCGCCTGGAGGACCGCGTTTTGGTGTAAGCCCACGCCCATCACCGGGATCGATGCGCACACCGGTAACTGCAGCAGTGGAGACCAATAACTGGGTACGGGAAACGCTGTCGAGCACTATGTTGACGCCTGTGACGCCGCAGCTTTGTCGATTTTTCTCGGATTGTACAGTGGACCCAACGGAGAGAATCACCCGAGTTTTACATGAACACTCGGAGTTGCTACTATCCGCACGTAACACTGGTCGAGTGACAGCTGGGAGAGTGCGCTCAACGGCTACGTTGGTGATTGATGATCAGGAGGACGATGCCGATGAGAACGGAAATACTCGGAATGTACCGTTTCCATCAGGTGTGGACGACAGTTTAAGACGTACGAAAAATCTGACGATCGTGCTGTTTTACCGAGTGCTGGAGCCATTGCTACAGTCAGAGCGTGAGAGGTTACGCAACAATGATTTCTCCAAGCTACTGAACAACGAGGTCTTCCTTGCCACGTTGTTTGCGTGCAGTGCTGAGGTGGTACTCAAAGCGCACTCACTCATCACGATCTCGTACCCTTTCCTGCTTGAACATTTGCATGTGAATGCTTTCCACTTCGTTACAACAAGCGAAAGTTTTGTCAAGTATGCACCGAAGCTGCCTTCTGCGTTGAAGAAACACATGGGCGATGTTAAGAACCGCATATTGGACTCAGCCGTCTGGAGATCGGACTCGGCGCTTTATCAGCTGCTCAAAGCACCGTCAAGTGCTCCCAGTACACCAAGTTTGGCTGATCGATTGAACGGAGATGGAACTGCTACGTCAAGTCCAGTGGGTCATGCTCCGGTGCTTCGTCTCTTTTTCCGAATGGTGTTATCTCGAGCAGCTTCTAGGATTTACCAACTGTGCAACATATTGGGACTGGACTCAACAGATCAAAACCAGATCTGGACGGCTGTGAAGGAGTGCATCACGTCACACCAGTACTTATTGAGAGACCGCCATCTGGACTTGATCGTGTTGTGCAATATTTATGCGGTATGCAAGGTTTCGCGTGGACCGAATATCTCTCAAGCAGCGGCAACTATGTCTTTCAAGCGCTTGTTGGCATGCTACAAACAGCTGAATCGACAGACTCCTGGTAGCGGTGAAGGTGTGACGCATGGTATTCTTCTTGAAGACGAGAAGTCACGTGGAGACATTATCAAGTTTTACAATCGGTGCTACATTGCACCAATGAAGGTCTTTATTCTTCAATTCCAGTGTCACGAATCTCAAATGGCTGCAGCTGACGCGGTAGTGGCCGAGGCTTCTGGTACTCCCCAAACACTGACCCCAGGCTTCACTCCTCGACGAGAAGGTAGCAACGGCACTATGGGCTTATCAGCGTCTTCCTCCGATGCCGAAAGCATCGCCCGAGCAGCGTCAGAAGCTGTTCAAAAGCTCTTTCAAACACACAACAACTCCAGCTCAACGAACGATAGAAGCAGTGTGCTTCCGAGCACCCCACCGCGTCCAAATCGCCGTGGAATGCGATCCCCTTTTGTATCGTCTCCAGCCGTATCAGCGCTTCAGATGTTCACCTCAGCTGAAGTCCAAACGCTGCCTGTATCAATGAACCAGACGTCCCCAAAACGCGTCAAGTCCTCAAACGTCTTCATGTCTCCACTGCAACAAGTTCGCTTGGATCGACGTTCCGAACTCACTCCGCGCTCACACGCTCTGTATGCAATTGGCGAAAGTCCAGCACGGGTAAGTTTACGGAATTTATTTTATTTTATTTTTACTAATGTGTTTTTTTTTGTGCAGGATCTGGCGTTGATTAACCGCGCAGTTAACACGGCACCCGCAAATTTGCGACGTGTTCGTGCCCCGGATCTTGTCATGGATAGCGACACCGAACATGACGGCAATGATACTATTCCGATCCGTAAGAAACAGAAAACAGCATCATAGGAGACGTTCCCAAGTTGTAGTCGTGCTGCTGTGTAAATTATGCGTAATATGTTTTTTTTACTAAGGCTCCGGCAGGAATCACGGATGTTTCTGGAACAAAAATATTTTCGTTATCTAATGTGCTGCGGCTGTGACCCTTGTTGCCGACTTGTCTTTGGTGAAATACACTGTCAAGCTGCTCGCTTTGTTCACTCAATTTTTGCTTCAAAACACAAGAAGCCGCGATCTTAATGTTCTCCACGGTAGGAGGTGACCACGGTCCGCTTAAATGTTGGTGACTTCGACTTCAGGTTCGTCGCTTTCGCTGCTGTCCTGACCATTCAGAATCGGGTGAGTGATCTCGTCCTCGCTGCCCAATTCATCGGCCACGGGGTCAGCATCACTGGCGTTCAAACGACCACGCATTGCCGCGCCTTCCTGTAGCTGTCGCACGAGCCATCCTTCGTCTGCCATGGACAGGTTATCGAACGTATCACGAGTCGTGTCGTAAGCGAAACTAAACTCATCGAAGTGGGACTCGTCGTTGGCGTTCGCAACAGTAGAGGCCTTCTTTCCGTTCACAGCCTTGGGGTTTTCACCAATTGTTTCGTCCACGTTCATGTTGCGGAAATGTTCGTGAACATTCTGCATCAGCTCTTCCGTCGGTGGGATAAACGGCGGCTCGACCTCCTTCATCTCCAATTTCTCCCAGTCGATCGAAGCGAAGAACGGGTGTGCACGAACGCCGTCGATATCAATGCGTTCCGCAGGATCACGGACCAGCAATTTCTTCATCAAATCAATAGCATCCTCATCGATCGGCGGGTACTTGTCGTACTTGACGTCGGCAGTCTGAATTTTCTTGTACATCTGTGAAATGTTAGCGTCGAAGAATGGAGTGCTACCGGTCAGCATCTCGTACAGTAGCACACCGTAACTCCACCAATCCGCTTCCATGCCATACTGTGGCTTTTGCGTTAGCAGTTGCTCCGGAGCAATGTACGCAGGCGAGCCTGCTAGCGTTCCAGCCTGAGAGTAGTTGTGGCTTCCCGGTTCTCCTTCCAAACGCAGTTGTTTGGAAATACCGAAGTCAACAAGACGAATGTTGCCCGTCTTGTCCAGCATAATGTTGTCCGGCTTCAGATCGCGGTAGATAATACCATGCGCGTGCAGGTACGAGAGAGCAATCGCAAGTTCTGCGGCGTAGAAGCGAGCACGATCCACGGAAAAGCGTCGTCCACTGCTCGTCGACACGTTCGGGTCCATCTTCGAGGAATGCATATGCAAATACAGGTTTCCGCCCTTGTAGTAATCCATGCCGAGATACAACTTGGTCTGTGTCTGGAAGGCGAAGCGCAAGCACGTCAGGAACGGATGGCGAACTCCCGACAGAATACGCCGCTCCTTCAAAGCGCTCTCCGCTCCAGACTGCTTGTCGATAATCTTGATAGCGAAGTATTCGTCCGGGTTCAAGTGACGCTGTACAAGCACCACCGTACCGAAACCACCTTGGCCAAGCACACCCACCACGTCAAAGTCCGAGAAAGACAACGCCAGCGAACGTTTCGTGAGGCAATACTGATGGAAGCACGCCGGGTGCTCTGCAACAGCCATAGGGTTCGTCGTAACACGACGAGTCTTTGAAGCCGACGAACTGCGTTGACGGAACGACAGCACGACTCGAGAAATACGTCGAGCTGGGGTGAATGTGATCTGCAGTCCAAACTTGCCTTCCGTGGTGGATCCAGAGACCGTATTGATAAGACGATGGCCCGAGTACGAGAACGCGTGGTGGTCATCGTCGTCCGCCTTGTGCGCCACCTGCTCGTTCACATCCGTTGCCAATAAGTACTTGCTCACATACAGCGCCGCATAGTGCACGAATCCTTCGCGGCCATGGTAGATTCCCTTGAATACACACGAGGGCTGTGTGGTCTCGCGCGTCTCCATATCAAACAGCAGCTCCACGTCCTTGCTGAGTTGGCGTAGGAACGATGGCAACCGCTCGATGACGTTCTCAGATGACGTCGCGGTCAGAAGGTGCACTAGATCAGCCAAGAATTTCTCTGCAAGGTGCGTAGTAATCGACGATTCGAGCGACACAACCTCGTCTGCCGAGCGTGGAGTAGGCGTCGGCGGCACGTCGCCGCGCGGCCGTCCCTGTTGCAGTAGCGAGGCCTCTCTGGCCGTGGTATTGTGCAAGCTGAGCTGCATCATGTGCATCCACATTGCCTTCTCCACGGCCGAGGTGGCCACAAAGTGGATCAAGTTGCCATTCGTAGCCAGGAAGCTGAAGCCCAGCTCTTCGGGCTTCAGTTTGGAGCCGCCAAAGCCCGCAGAAGGAAGGGAGCTTAGGATCTGCTTGATAACCCAACGCCCGCGGTGCTGCTCCTTGGCCAGCGCATGATTCTTGGACTTGTAGACTGAGATCGTGCGGTTCTGCAGCGTGATATAACGCGGCGTCCAGCTCTTGACGATCTTGCGCTGCTTGTACAGATACCCTTCCCACTCCACCTCCTCGGCCGTGATGGTCTTAAGGTCGATGAGGTTGGGCGTGGACATGGTGCTACTGCTCTTGGGTCTGCTGCTTTTGCTGCTAGTCAAGGAGGCCGAGCCGAAGTTGGCCGTGAGATTGGAGCCGCTACTGCTGCTCGTGCCACGAGAGAGCGACGGCCGCCGACTGCGCGGTGTGCTGGACACGGTGCTGCCGTTGGTCGACGGGCCGCTGATACTGGACTTGCGACGGCTCGCACGCGCCGCGGCCGTGAGGCTCGAGGCCGACGAGTTGCGCGACATCATACGCGCCTCTAGCATGTGCGCCATCGTTCACCTGGGGAGTTTTATACTGTGCGGTCGATGCGGAATTGCAAGAGTGATGGTCCCTCGTCCACTGACGAAGAGACAATCGGAGAGGGGAATTGAATGAAACAGGTGACAACCCACAAAAAAAACTGAAAAAGTGTCGCGGTGAGTGCTTTTCTTTCCTTGCGTCTCGCGGACGCTCCTGGTGTTCTCTCTGGTCGCTCGCTCTTTTTGCTTTCTGGCAGGACGCGCCCAACAACACGGCGCGCTCACAGCTGGGGAGTGCTCTCCGCAAAGCCGAATCTCAGCGCTTTGTCTATTCTCCGGTTTTTACCGGTTTGTTGCAGTAGGGTCAGTTTCCACCAAAACCCTTTGTAAAACGATAGCGGTGATGTCAGGTATTAGTGCTGATTGGATACATTAAAACCGGTTTTACCGACTCTAAAAGATGCGTGTGGACCACAACGGTCGGAGCCATGTTTGCGTTCATTCTGTGGTACAATCAGTGATGGACACAGTCCGGTGGCGTGAGCCACCGCCTCTTTTTGCTTGTCACTCGAAACCGGCATCTGCCGTGCTGAACATGGTACAACCTTCGCTGCTGTAGATCAAGCCGATGTTAGCAGCGGCTGGTCACGAGGCCATCATACATGTACAATACTGTGCACATATATCAATACCTACTTGGTGCAAGACCACGCACCATGGATCACGGCATGGTCACCTGATTGCCGACTTGAATTGTATCAGATCGAGGGGATGGAGCAGTCGTACAAATGATGTACTGTATCCGAAGTGCGTGGCATGCCGAGTGATATTGATTTGCATCGCGCAGCAGAGTCTGCTGACTGTCGGTGACCGAGACCTCGTCAAGGTCGCCTTCAAGGTCACATTACGTATTGTTCTCTAGCAAACCGGCAAGAAGGGTCCCAGGATTCCTGGACAAGTTGCATTACAACCACAGTGTGGTCATTGCCGAGGTGCGCAGCAAAGGGATCAGATGCGCTGTGAGCGGCGTACCCGCGCAGTTTCTTCCTCTGCCCAGTGATCACCGCTCAGGACCTGAGTCAGGATGGCAGGCACGGCAGCCTTAAAGCTGAGCTTTACCGGTAAAACCAGCAGCGGCGGCGGGGCGACACGGAAGACTTCGGTAAAGAAAAAAAGCTTGCTGGCTGCAAGTTGCAGCAAATCGAGCGGGGCTCAAACAAATCCGGCTGTTGGTGACGAGGAAACGTGAAGGCAGATGGCTTCAATCAAGGGCTCTGCTTGATCAGCGGGGCTTTCCTGGTGACTTACAAGTTGCAATACAACGTGTATACAGCGACGAGAGCCGGAGGAGGCTGCATTAATTCTGTGCGTTGATACACAACACAGGCTCTGATATTTCGCGACGTGTGACGCGGCTTTTTTCGTTCCGAGTGAGCGAGATTCGCTATTGTCGCGTTGCTGGTCCGGTGTAGCCCTGGAGATCTCCAAAGCAGCGTAAAACTCGTTTTCAGTTCGCCCCCATTGCTCTGATCCTTTAATCCCAAGCTTTGAGATCTTTCCTCGGTCCTTATACCGTCGAAGACCGTCGCCACTGACCACCGGACGATTTTTTAATCAGTTGTTGAAGCTGTTTTAATCGAGAGAGGCGGAGCAGCATTGTTGAAGCTGTTGGTCAGCAAGAGAATGGCAACTTGAACATGCCACGTCATTTTTTCACGAGCATGTTGCATCAGATCGATCTCAACACGTTGTATCCCCTGCAGACTGAAGTATCTTCAAAGGATGCAACCTGTGCTTCGCTTCGAAAGCTTTTGCGGTTTATTTGAGCGAACTGGTAGAGGTTGGCACGAACCCTCCCGTTTGTTGCGCCGGTAGCAGGCAACACAAGAGCGAACTCGTTCCAGCTTCACGCTGCTGTAACTGCGGACCGAGAAGGGGTAGCCGAACGCTAGGCTTGGTCGATTTACCGCTACCTTTCTGGCCTTTGCTGATGATTGCCATCGATGTGGCACGAGGTGAGTTCACGGTGTCATTCTGCATTTCTGGGCGTTTGGCGTGCTTGACGAACTCTACACCCGGCGGCGTCGGGTGTGGAGACGTTGCCCAAACGACTGATGGAATTAACCGGCCCCAACGCGGCTTGGATTGACGTGTAGGGGGTTTCTGCAATCTTGAGGTGCCATCTCCCTTGTGAATCGCTAAAAGTCTTCTCGATTCAACAGCAACGCTTTGTGTCTTCTTCTGTGACTGGTATTCATCCAAAAAATTTTCTTGGTTTTGACTAGAGGTTAGCGTGCGCCGAGGAGTAGGAGGAGTTTTGCCTGGACGTTCCGGCATTGGGTAGATGCACGTCTGGGGTCGTAACGTAGTTGAGCGAGAGCTTTCGTGGTTGTTTTGGTTCGATACAACTTCACTTGAACACGATGCAACTCGTAAGCAAACGATGTGTGGACCTTGACGAGCTAGCAAGGCTTTCCGGATCCTCTTCCGTACCAGGTTACCTCGAATGAATGACTGCACCTTAACAGCGCTGGCGACTTTTTCGGATGCCTCTACTTGCTTTACAATAGTTGCGCGTGTAATTGCTCGACGTCGTTGCTGGTGGTGACGAAAAACCTTTTGGATGATCGTCGCGCTCGATTTTCTTCTCAAGATATGCGTAGTTTGAGGGGTTGATACTCGACGCGGCGGAGTCACTGGTTGCTGTGGAGGTGGACGTGGTGATGCTGGGGTACTCACGGAATAACTCACTGACTGCCTAGGTGACCTAGTGGGATGGGATTGAGAGAGCTTCTCTTGCTCCTCGAGTCGAGACTCGACTGAGTCGACTCGCGGATTGGAGTGAGGTGAGTCCTCTTTTGGATGGCGGATCTCCTTTGGATGGCTGATCGACAACCTTTCGTTTATATGCACTCTTGGCTTGGGTTCTTCGGGAGTGTGAACTATCCGTCGCATCGCTATCATCGTTTTCATCCGCTCGCGTTGTCTTCTAAACTTCTCCAGCTCCTCTGCAAACTTCTCCGCTCTTCGCTGACGTCTGCCCCTGAACATCGCTTGCAGGCGCATAACGACAACCAGCACTCCTAACATGTCCTTGATCGCCCCTGCTTGAGTCGGTAGTCTTGTAATGGTAGTGCGACGCATGTAGGTGGAGTGATCGGTGAACTCGTCCACTTCTGTAGGCAGAAGCATTTCAGTCTCAGTATTGTCAGCATGGGCTATACCCGTGCCATTGAGAGCGTTGAGGAGATCCATGGCCTGCTTTGCTTTGTCCTCGCGGATTTTTGCGTGATTGCGGACGCTAGCCACCCTCTTCGTGTTGATTTCAATGGTTTGCTATAAGTGCAAAACAGACGAACATGTCAGTACCGTGACTCACGAAATGTATCCCCTCGTTTCTTTCAAGCTCACCGCGATGTGGATTGTAAAATGCATCAGCTTTTGCTCGTCCTTGATCGAAAACCCTGTTTCAACCATCCCGTTGGCACTTTTGAACCTTTGCAGTCTCACTTCAGTGCTAAGCTCGTCCTTGATATCTTGCGGGGTTGAGGATCGCTCTGTCGTATCTAAACGATTCAAGAGCTGTTTATCCTCGTTAGTGAAAGCTCTAACATTCTATCGCAGGCAAATTGTAAGCCAAACCTGAATTACTGCAGCCACTCGATGGCTCAGGATGACCGGGGCACATAGGATCGACTCCACGTGCATGTCTTTCGGCACGTCATAGTCACGATGGAAAGCGCGATGCTACAGATAACAGTATAACATTGGATAATCTTACGCTGTTGTTAAAACTACGAGGCTTGGTTCGTACCGGATTGGATTCTTCCATGCGTAGGCATCGCCTCTGAAGGAAACAGGAGCTAACCATCCCCATAACGGGAGGAATACTCACCAGCGGTGATGTGGCCACATTTTCTTTCCTAAATCCAACCGCACTGCTCTTGCTCGCTTCACCTGGCTGCTCAATTGATGCATTTAATGGTTCACTGCCAGTGGCAGTCGGTTTGTCGTCTAGTGCAAGTGTCTCCTCCTTGTCATGGCAGTCCACGACGACTTGAGGTCTCAATAAGTTGGCAGCCTTGTCGTAGATGTACACAATGCACCGCTGCGCTGGGATCGAGCCTAGTACATCCGTAGCCGCTTGTGTAAGTGCATCCAGTAGAGACAAATCGCTGGCGTCCATAGCGAGAGCAGGAGGAACACTTCAACGTGCATGTAGCCATGTACTAAAAATTGCTACATGCAATTTTAGGACATGGCTACAGCGAGATTAGGGTATCTTTGCCAAATACTATGACCATCATAACGCTAGTGATGGAGGAGCTCCGTCATGTACACGGTGCGTTCGCTACTGTGGCTGGGTGTTGATTGCTATAGCTAACTGAAGGTCATTAGTGGAAGTGTGCTTGAAGCAGGAAAGCGTTGCTGACTACGAGCAAGTGGGTGCAGCCGTCGCGGAATATCTCGGTGCTACCCGCTCGCTTATCGCGAAAGGTGCGTTATGATTTGAACATTCCCATATGAAGGTTTAATGATGTCTATATGACACAGGCTCTATCGTATTACCTGTGGAGTTTGAGCTCGCAGCACATGTGGATCGGATCGATGTGACGGACTTTGATGGCGATGAGATCAATGAGACTGGCGTCCCGAAATCAGAAGCTCATTTGTTCGTGCATGTGTTCAAGCTCAGCGATGTAAGTAGCTGTACGTGCATTCACAAGATATGAATATACACTAAGATATGGTGCAGGAACCTCCTGCAGAGGAAACGGCAGACGACGAGGATGTCACGACTTGCCAGCAAACGATCCTTCCTGCTAGCAGCTTTGACGGACTTTGGGACTCGCTGATCTTCGACTCAGCAGTAAAGCGGAATGTGCTGGACTATGCTATGACTGCGATGCTATTCTCAGACTCCAAAGTGAACCCGCATATCATATCGTGGAATCGAGTTGTGTTGCTACACGGCCCACCGGGGACTGGCAAGACAAGTTTGTGTAAGGCACTGGCCCACAAACTAAGCATCCGTCTCTCATCTAGGTTGATAGCACATGTATTGACTTTGCTCGAGGGTTTTTATTGACTGGATCGGATGATGTAGGTACCCAAACGCAGTGCTGTTGGAGATCAATGCCCACAGCTTGTTCAGCAAGGTAAGAAGCGTCACTTACTGCGATTTTTCGAGTCGCTTAAGCATATTTTTTTTGTGATTCTTGTGATTGTTTCTATCTGTAGTGGTTTTCAGAGAGTGGGAAACTCGTGATGAAGCTTTTCCGTCAGATTCAGGAACTGGTAGAAGATGAAGAGTCATTGATTTGCGTGTTGATCGGTAAGCTTGCACATGCGAACTGAAGTGAGTTCGTTTAATAGTTATACTACTTACCTATGTAGATGAGGTGGAGTCACTCACGGCAGCGCGAAAATCTGCTTTAAGCGGATCAGAGCCGTCCGACGCTATTCGCGTGGTTAACGCGCTGCTTACGCAGTTGGATTCATTGAAGCGACACTCGAATGTGCTGATCCTTACCACGTCAAACATCACCGAGGCAATCGACGTGGCATTTGTCGACAGAGCTGACATCAAACAGTACGTAGAGCGATATGGCCGCTGCATGATCGGACGAGTTCGCTTATTATCATTGTCAGGTATATCGGACTTCCGTCGGGCCATGCGCGTTATGAAATTTTGCGGAGCTGCATTGAAGAACTTCGACGGGTGGGAATACTGAAGCCCAGTACGCAGCCTCTGTTTGCCTACCAAGAATTAATGAGAAGAAAAGCGTCGAGGAAGCGAATGGTGGACCAAATGACATGCCCGCCAGGTGGTGAAAATGGCAATGAAGACCTCGAATTGTCATTGGAGTTGCTACAGGCTGCAGAAATGGCCGAAGGGTTCAGTGGCCGAGCACTGCGCAAGCTGCCGTTCCAGGCACACGCTTTCTTTGTTCAGGTATGTTAAATAATTGGGATGGATGATGAACGAATTCTAACCTTTTACTTCGTATTTGTCTTAGACGCGAACTGCTACTGCTTCCGAGTTTATTCATCATCTGATGCAGACCATCCAGCGTGAAAAGGAGCAGAACCAACAATTAACGTTAGGATAGATCATAGAAGCAGTGTTCCTGTTCGGAAAGTAGCAGCAAAAGCAATAAAACTTCGTCGTTCCTCGAAAGCTAAATATTGTTAAATGGGAATGCAGCTCCACGTAGCACACTACAATTGGCCACTCGCTAGTCTTCTTCTTCTTCGTTCTCTATTCGTGTCCCTAGATCGGTGTGCCTTCTTGCCAACGTTTTCAATTCATCGCCTTTTAGTATCTCGGACGCGATCCACGACGCTGGTAGGCGTGGCTTCCTCCTTCGAGCTGCATCCGTCCAGCATCAGCCAAACGACTGCCACTTGACGACGACGTAGAGTTCACCAACTTTCCATCTCGATACTCCTCCGTCACAGTCTCCGTGCGTCCGTCAGCACCCGTAGTCGTCATCGTCTTCTGCGTGATCACATGACCATTTCGATCCGTGAAAGTCGACGACGACGAGCTCGAACTCGTAGAATAAAAGTCACCTGATCCTCCCATGTCTCCAAATCCATCGCTAAAGAACGAACTCATCATGGGCATGCCCGTATTACCGAATCCTCTGCCCATATTCATCCCTCCGAGGCCCATAGACCCAAAGAAATCATCGTCAAACACTCCACGGCGCTGCGACCCTCGATGCTGCCCAAAGAATGCTTCAAATGGGTCCTGACCTCCAAAAAAGGCGTCAAAAATGTCGCGAGCGTGCTGCGTCGAAAAGCCTCTATAGCCACTAAACCCGAAATGTTCATCGTGAGCCGGAGCTGCCCCATCCAGCCCCGATTTGCCATATTTCTCATAAACTTTCCTCTTCTCCGGGTCGCTCAGCACCTCGTACGCCTCGCTGATCTTCTTGAAAAACTCCTCGGCGCGTGGACTCGAGCGGTTCTTGTCCGGGTGCCACTGCACTGCCAGTTTCCTGTACGCACGCTTGACGTCGGACGCTGACGCGGAGCGCGGCAGGTTCAACACCTCGAAGTAGTCATCTGATTCCAAGTGGGTCTCCATCTGATTCTTCTCTTCTACTTCCTCCTCTTCGGTAAGGTCAATAACGAGCGACTGCTGCTGGGCTGGCACTTTACTCCGTCTCGGGGTGGAACGCTGGCACTTGGCAGCTTTGGTCGAGCCTGACGGTTGCCCAGACATTTTCATACTGAAGATCGCATTGGTCAACGAAGCGACGTTCTAGAATTCCTTACAAACATCAAGTTTATTAACCGGTTAACATTGTGTTGAACCGGTCTCATGTTGAAGTGAAGCAGTACATAACGTGCACATCAACTTGGCCAGTATCCAAATCATTTTGGACGAAATGAGACTGGAGGTGTTGGTGGTTGCGCTATGGTGCGCTTTCGTTGTTGTGTATGCGGACGAAATCTTTGAGTTCTATGGGGATTCGCACTACGAGTTCGGGAGACAAATGGGACTGCGCTTCCGGGACAAAATTCAGGACCGGATGCGGCTCAACACGAAGCTACAAAATCTGCTGCTGCCGTTTGCGAAGACGTCGACGGGACGCAAACTGCTGGATCGGTATCTACTAACGCACAGAGCGACGTTCCCCGTGGGTGTCTGAATTTGCAAATTATTTCGTGGTTAAATAATGGGTTTTAATTGGAGTTTATTAACGTTGCTGTGGATTATAGCAATACTTTGAGGAGCTGGAAGGTGTGGCGGAAGGCAGCGACGTTCCATTCGAGACAATTTTCATTGAGAATATTGTGGAGGAGTTTTCCAACTCGATTCCTCCGAGTTTCCAGAATAAACTGTTCCCGACTGAAGCGCGTCACCCGATCTTGAGATGCTCAGATATCGTGCTGACGAGCCCAGAAATCCACGTGGTGGCGCATAATGAGGATAGTGGGGAGATGGATGTAAACCGCACGGCAATCGTTATTGCAAAGATTGGGAACGAACCCAAGTTTGTGGCGTATACGTATCTGAGGGATCTTCCATCCGGGGCGTTTGGATTCAATGAGAACGGCGTCGCGTTCACACTCAATTGTACGTAGCGAATAATATTTTCTGTATAAAATAACTCTGATCGGTGTTTTCTAGTTGTCCAGCCTTCCGAGATATTTGTCGGTGGACTTGGACGAGGATTCATATCGCGCGACCTATTGACAGCGAAGAACGCCAATGACGCGACTTCAATTATCACTCGAGAGGGTCAAGCTGCTGTGCACAACTTCCAGTTGATGGATGTTCGAGCCAAGCGTGTGTGGAATATCGAGGTGGCGTCGTTCAACCGTCATCTAATCTACAAGTTCAAGGACGAAGGAAGCGCTGTATCGGCGTTCTTCCATGCCAATCAGTACCAACGGCTTCAGATTGCGCAGCCGCCGTATCAGAGTAGTCTCCATCGACTGCATCGCTACAGTGAGTTGACCCCCCCTAAGACAATTGAGGAGGCGCTGGTGGTTCTCGGAGACCAGGAAGATCGATCATGGCCGGTATTCCATGATTCTCTGTTCCATGCGAAGGGTGACTTATCTGGCTGGACACTCACGACCATTGTCTTTGATCTGGACAAAGGGAACGCTGTGTCATTTTTGGGCAACCCCGCATATCATCGTCAAAATCTCGTACAGTGGTGCACCTCATTTTCGACACCGGTATGCCTCTATAACCTTCATAATTTGATGATTACGCTCAGTGCTTTGCGCAAATCGTTTGCCCATCACCGTTGGCTGAATTAACCTCAATGGTTTTCCCGGAGGGATGACACGTCGCGCCGCAGCGACCTCACTCTACCGAACAGACGAGTAAATACTGAAGCTTACTTTATTTTTTGCTGTATCATACCATGGCACGTCGCCCCTCCGCCTATTCTACGCTAAGTCTCGCTGACAAGCAGAGGCGAAAACAATAAACCAGACGATATTTAGAAACTGCTGGAGTCTCAGCGGAATATCGTGTAAAAGATGGGCTGATATTTATACTTAATTAACGTAATAAAAAACAGTACAATTGGCCCATCTGCGTTCCTGCATAAATTTTCGCCGTTGGCAGACTCTATATGGTCCACCCTGTCGAAAACGAGGTGCACCACTGTATGGGACCTTTTCAATTTGACAGTACTGCCACCAGGAACCAGTGAAAGTCTATGAAATTTTTTTTCGTCACGCAAATCACGCAAAGGAGGTTATCGAGAACAGCTGTGTAAAAATCATGGTGATGACCACCTGGTGATCTGTGAAAACTGTCCTAGATATACTTCTGATCTTCGTGTTTACATCGCTAATGGGGTGCTTTCGAGGCCGCAATCACAACCCGCTCATCACATAACGGCAAATACTGTTGTTTCGACTAAAACCGGTCGAGAGGTATCGGCTACGAACGATTTTTCACTGGTATCAATTGAGCATCATGCGCCTCAGCTACTTTTGTTGTCTGGAAGTGTCATCCTAGCAGCGATAGTTAAGGGTCTTCCTGATGGGCAGAGCAAGACTCCGACGCCAAACGTTCACGTTGAATTCACCACCGCCGACGGCAAGAATGACACGAAAACAGTGGTAATAATGCTACCAGCTGAAGATTTCGACGATATTCAACAATATACTGGTGGATCTGCTGCAACGGAGGAGAGAGTGTCGCTGAGTCCATGGATACGAAAAGCGGTGGAGGCTTTCGTGAAGAAACCGCTGCATTTTCTGGTGGCTTTGATAAACATTCGGGGTTGGTCTTCTGGCGGTGCATGTGGTCTTTTAGAAGTTGCTGTTATATACTGAAGTAGATGATGCGATCTCACTAGAACAGAGCATTTCAAAGTAAATAAAACGAAGCGATTGTTCAGCTGGATACCGAGCGAAATACTTAGCCTATCACCAGTGCCTGGTATATGCTTGTCGTTGTTCTCAGATAGTAGTAATCTTATTGTCTTCATCCATGGCGGGAACAACCGCTGCACCGGCACTGAGTTGTTGATACTGACGCTAGTTGTGGTGAAGGACGCTTCTCGGCGCGTTGAGCAGCCCCTGAAGCCCAGTCAGATTCTTCCTGCTTCGAAAACCGCAACAGGGATGCCCCCAGAGCTCGAGACGAAGGACGTTGCTGACCAAGGTATATGCGAGCGAGTAGTGCCGTCGCTGGTATAGACGGCTTCACAAGAAAATAGAAGGCCACTCTTATCATCACCATCCTTACATTTGATGACGATTGCCGTAGTGTAACCAATGATTACGTGCGATAATATCCTTCCGAGTACTTTGTTTACAGTGAATAACGCAGTTCATTCCACAATTCACTTCGAGTCGTTAAGAAGATCAGTTTGGAGCTCTGTATCCATCCAATACCTTGCGCCTCAGCCACATTTTACTAGCAGCAGTCGGAATCCTTGTTGTGACCGTCGATGGCCTCGCCGGTGAAAGAAATAATATTCCTGCGCCAAACGTCCAGGTGGAATCTACCACTGTGAAGGAAACGAACGACACTATGGCGGGGAATACTACGGCGGGGATAACGGTTCTGCCGTCCGTTGATACCGACGATGCTCAGCAAGGTGCTGGCGGATCTGCCGTGAAGGAGGAGAGATCGCTGCGTGCGACGACGAAGTTCGGGTGGGTGAAAGATGCAGCAAAGGCTTTCAAGAAGAATCCTCGGGGTTTCTTGAATTTTTTTAATTTCTTTCGCAAGCAGTATTAGTGGTTGGTCAAGGAACGTTAGATCAACACGTGCTACCATGTTTCGAAGCACACAAACATGGAGTAGGGTTTCAAGTACATTGCAGCTTGAAGCACGGCAAGAGGACAGCAATTTCGCCTCGATATCTCGTTAATGGCCACCATTTGAATGTTCGTTGTCTTGAGGTGATATTTAATCGCTGGTCCTGCATTTAACTGCTATTTGACGTTACATTTGCCTACTCTGCTGGTTAGAATTGGTGGCGACCTGCTGGCCTAGGGGGGCATTTTAGGGTGTAGATGAAGTGGTATGATCAGTGTTGAGCTTGTTCGCGAGCAATGCGTGTCAACTAATCACCAAGTTTGCCAACGCAAGCTTCAAGAACAGGTGAAACAGGTCGGTGTTCGAGAATCAAGTGAACTACGTTGTATCGTGTCTGCGTAACGGTAGCTTCAAATGATGAACGAATCAAGCCAGAATTTGGATGATTCCGGATTTCATTATTGCTTTTAGGACATCAGGGCGATTAGGATTTGCGTATTTAGAATATTTTAGCGTTTAGGATGTGCTAAAATATTCTAAATACACAAATCCTAATTGTCCTGATGTCCTAGAAAACGATTCTCTCACTTGGGGGTTCTATGTGCGACTCACCGAGTACACGCAAAAATATCCTATGGTGTTTTGGGCAACTTCCGTTTGATAAATCCCAAACATAACAATTATTTGCAATAGCGACTTCAATTATTATTTGAGCGTTTCTATATCTGATAAAGATTTGACGCTGGTCGATCAGTGCATGAGCATATCTTTTACAGTAGAAGCTCTCTCTTCTGTAAGACAGATAGCACGAAATAAAGAGAATTAATAAGAGAATATTTAGTGGCCTGGAGCGAAATGCACTAAGAAGATTCGCCCTATCAGCAGTGAAAGCACACGCTTGTTAATTATTCTCAGATAGTGGTAATCTTAATGTCTTCATCCATGGCGGAAACAACCGCTGCACCTGCACTGAGTTGCTGATACTGATGCCAGTTGTGGTGAAGGATGCAACGCTTCTCTGCTCGCTCGGCAGCCCCTGAAACCCAGTCAGATTCTTCCTGCTTCGAAAACCGTAACAGGGATGCCCCCAGAGCTCGAGACGGAGGACGTTGCTGACCAAGGTACATGCGAGCGAGCAGTGCCGCCGCTGGATGCGCCTGCTGACCAACATCTCGGAACCACTTCAGGATATTCACGTGGTGATACAGCTTCAGCAGGTTGTACTGGCCCTTGTCGAACAAGTCTGCTCCCTCGGTTGCAAGAGTGTCCCACGCGACATACACTTGTTGCCATTCACGCCACGCACGAGCCTCGTCCTCAGCCACAGCATCACTTGAACGTTTCCCACTGCTCGTAGTCGACGCAGCAGCAGGCGGCTGGTTCTTTGGTCCATCAACCATCAATAGTGAACTCATTTCGTCGTCGTCTTCATCTTCTTCCACCTCTTCTTCAGTACTTGAGCTAGCATCACTCGGTCGAGCTGCAAGCAACTGGAAAACCACGCGATGCTCCTGACGCAAAGCTTCTTGAGCGCGACGGAACACACGACTGTCCGAGACGAGATTGACAGCCTTAGAGCTGATACGGGGATCCAGTAGCATGGCTTTGATTTCATCATCAACTTCAGACGAGGTCGTTGGAGTCGAAAAATGCTGCGTGATCAGCTGACGGAGCTGCTCGAGACATTGACGGCCTGTCGGAGTAAACAAGTCCACACGTTTGGCTTTACGACGCGCAGTACGCTTCACTGGGGAAG